CTATGAACATTGGGGTACATGTGCTCCTATGCCTCAGCATTTCTGTATCCCTTGGGTAAATTCCTAGCAGTGCTATTGCTGGGTCATAAGGGAGTTCTATTGTTAGTTTCCTGAGGAAGCTCCACACTGTTTTCCAGAGGGGCTGTACCAGTTTACATTCCCACCAACAGTGCAGGAGGGTCCTTGGGCCGCGTCTTAATTTGAGAATCCTATTTGCCCGAGAAGCTGTAACTAAGAGATAAATTATATTCCAGACTGGCAGGTTCTAGCCTCTCTGTAATCTCTGGGTTCTGCTTACAAATTGGCCAGTTCTTTTCTAAGTTCATCTTTCTCTTGAAGCTCCTTATACTTCAGCTAGTATAAACTGGCTGATACTCTCAGTTTTCTGCTTGGAAATCTTTGCTTCAAGTCCAAAGCTCCATCAAGACACTATCTTTCAAGTTACATACAGCAGGGGATGCCTGTACCATTACATAACAGGAGTCACTATTCTTTAAGTTTCTATAACAGTTTCCTTGCCATTTCTCCAGTCTCCAGAAGTAATTATCTTGGTATTTTTCCAACCTCCACTAACAGTTTCCTTCCTATGTGCCACGTGGTCCTGGAATCAAGTCACGTACTTTAGAGTTTTGTTATGGCCTCATCCCATGTCTCATGTCACTCGTCTGCAACCTTCACTGGATAAACGCCATGGAAACGGCAGGTATGTTTCCCATGCCTGGACCACAGTAGGTATTCAATAAATTTATTACCTAATAAGTAAATAAAGTAACTCTTAATTGCTAAAGATGCTTTTAGGGCATCATTGTAAGTTTTATCAAATCTTTATTAGCACAGAAACTGTTACTCTAGTTCAGCTAGTTTTTTCTTAACTGTTCTCTTTAATTTACTATCTGCTTGATAGACTCTATACAGATATGAGCACTGGCCCTTGTCTGAACCAAAATTCTACCTACAATGTGTGACCCTTAAAATAATTATTGATATCTGTATACTATTGTCTTCTCTGCAAAATGAGAATAATAGTATTGCTTATCTGGGGCTTCTGGATAACATTGTGGAAGAGGAGAGTTTTAAGATCATCTCATTCAAAAGATATACCTAGATAACACCCATATCAGTTTAAATAACCCAAAAAAATGACCCAAATACTGGCAGGACAGACTCTCCACAGCTAATCATAGAGAAGAGGCCACAACAAAAATGGCATTTATCTCCTTAAAAAAAAGGAAAAAACATAGTACTACTTATCCCACATGATTGTTGTGAAGATCCTTCATGCAGAGTAAGTACTCAACAAATGGTGGTTATTATTATTATTATCTCATTTTCAGCTCCATGCATAATAACTTGTAAAAATGGCTGCTTCCCAAAAGACAATGGGTTGCTGGGGAAAGGACTGGAAGGAAGGCTTGCATTTAGCTGAATTTATATTTTTTGTTACTTTTGAACTTTCTACATCTACATATATTACCTATTCCAAAAAATTATGGGTTTTAAAAATACTACTTGTATATTTGTTCATTTTAATCTCTATTATATAAGAAGCTTGAATGATCCTTTTTAAAATCAGCAAGGAAATGGGGTGCCTGGGTGGCTCAGTCAGTTAAACGTCTGCCTCTTGGTTTTGGCTCAGGTCATGATTACACAGTTCGTGGCTTTGAGCCCCACATGGGACTCTGTGGTAACAGCATGGAGCATGCTTGGGATTATCTCTCCCTCTCTCTCTCTGCCCCTCCCCTGCTTGCGCTGTCTCTGCCTCTCTCAAAATAAATAAATAAACATTTAAAAAATGAAATCAGCAAGGAAAATATGAACTAGTTCATTCGTGACAGATTTAAAATAGATTTCTTTTTAAGCTTCTTAGAGCCCATTAGAAATAGTAGTTAAACAAGAAGTCTTTTTATGGGTGGACAGTTTTATTTCAGTATTAATATGCTTTTGGTTGCAAAAAAATTCACTAAGTCATGATCTCATGTTTCATGAGTTCAAGCCTCGCATTGGGTTCTGTGCTGACAGCTCAGAGCCTGGAGCCTACTTCAGATTCTGTGTTTCCCTCTCTCTCTTTCCCCTCCCCAACTCACACTCAGTCTCTCTGTCTCTCACAAATGAAAAAAAAAAAATTAAACAAATTCACTAAGTCCAAAAGAAACAGTCAATTCTACCAATGTAAATCTACATAATTCTGAAGAGCATAAATGTGAAATTTCATTCAATGATAAAGGAGTGTATAATGGGGGAAATGTTTAATCTCGCTACACCAATATCCCCACTCAAATATACAGTACTTCAAAACCTGTGGCTCGTTTCATACCCTTGGTTGAGGTGAAGTTGTCTGACCTGACAACATGCACTAAATAATGTTCTTTTTAATCCTGTTTCCTTTTATCCCTCAAACAGGTTTAATGACAACAGAGGTTTTCAGACCACTTGAGGCACTTCTGAATTACACAGTAAGACAAAAATAGCTATTGTAAAATTATCCCAGCCTTATGGTAGAAGAAAAATGTTTCCTCTGTAAAAATTTTTCACTTCTGGAACTAACCAATTCTGTGTTTTGGCATTTGAGAGAGCTGTAAATCCATTCATTTGCTAGACATTTATTAATCCCCTTCTGTGTGCAAAGGGCTGTGCATTTGGGTAGCCATCAGTTGCCATGCATTCTCCTCATATTCCATCACCTTACTCTCATTACCCACTTAGTTTGTGCTTCAGCTTCCTAACTTAAAAAAAAAAAAAAAAAAAACAATGGCACTTTTATAATTCTTACCATCCATTTATCTGTCAAGAGTATTAATAAGTAATGCCTGTATTTGAGGTGTGGGCTGACATACATGAATAATTACCTCAATTTTTGTCAAGACATCTTGATGTCAAAAGGAAAGGTGTGGTTAATTTCTTTGAATATTCCATGAATGTTTGAAAAAAAACTGTATTCTTTCTTTTTGTTATGCTCAAAAAAGAAATGATAAATTGGGAAAAACACATGAAATATATTTTCGATGAAATGTTATTATCCTTAATACCCACATACAGGATGAGGCTTATAAAAAAAAGGGGGGGGGGCGGCTGGGTGGCTCACTCAGTTAAGCATTCAACTTCAGTTCAGGTCATGATCTCATGGTTTCTGAGTTCTTTTGTGAATTTGAGACCCACATAGGGCTCTGTGCTGATAGTATGGAGCCCACTTCCGATTCTCTGTCTCTGTCTCCCTCTCTCTCTGCTCCTCCTCTGCTCTCTCTTTCTCTCAAAAACAAACAAACAAATAAAACATTAAGAAAAAAAGGCAAAGATATGAACACCAAATGCTTCAAGGAGAAATACAGATGATCTACAGACATAAAGAGATTATCATTTGCTATTAATTTTTATTATTTTCCCATTTTTTATTTTCCTAATTTCTAAGTTGATCTCTATTACTTCCTCCTTAATTATTTCTTTGGGATTCTCCATGACACTTTTTTCTATTTTTTTAAGTTGAATTTTTAGTTTATTTACTTTCATTCATTCCTTTCTTTTTAATTTTAGTTTTATTATTATTTATTTTAATCAATATACTTACTTATATTTGACAAGTTTTGACATAAAATTACTTTTATCATTTAATTTCATGTAATAAAATTTTCTTTCATAATTTTCTTTTTGATCAGGATTATTCAACATTATGTTTTTACTCTTCAGACATAATGATTTTTAACTCTATGTTTTTGTTTTTAATTTACCTTGAATGATAGTCAGAAAACATGATCTATATGATAGCAATTCTTTGGAGTTTATGAATTTCTGTGTGACATGGTGCACTGCCAATTTTTGTTTCTTTCACAGATGCTCTGTAAAAATTTTGCATTCTCTATTCATCAGACTTATAGATTTGATTATTCTTAGTTTATTTAATTTTACTGTATCTGAGAATGATTTGTTAAAGTCACCACCATAAAGTGTTGATGTATTTATTTTTCCTGTCACTCTTTTAGTTGTTTTGTATATTTGGAAGCAATTTCCTTAATGTATATGTGTTTAAAAAAATAATGTCTTCTTAGAACTTTTAGTGGCAAAGTTTTCTTTGTGACCCCCTTCATTAGCCTTGCTTCCCACTTAATTTGATATTGAATCTACTACCCTGGCTTTCTTTTCATTCATCTATGTCTGACATATTTTCTTCAATTTATTTATTGCACTCTTTCTATATGATTGTTAATTATTTTTAATGTTTATTTATTATTTATTTTGAGAGAGAGAGAGAGAGACAGACAGACAGAAAACCAAGCAGCCTCCCCGCAGTCAGCACAGAGTCCCGTAGCAGGGCCCGATCCTTCAGATCACCACCTGAGCCATAATCAAGAGTCCCATGTTTAACCAACTGGAGCCACCCAGGCACCCCTATACGATTATGTTTTAAATGTGGTTTTGTAGGGGTACTTGTGTGGCTCTGTCTGTTAAGCTTCCAACTCTTGATTCCAGCTCAGTCATGATCTCACGATTCCTGAATTTGGATGGGGCTCTATGCTGACAGCATGGAGCCTGCTTGGGATTCTCTCTCCCTTTCTCTCTGCCCTCCCGCTTTGCACTCTCTCTCAAAATAAATAAATAAACATCAACAAAATAAAAGTGATTCTGTAAACAACAGATTCCTGGATAACTTTAAGTTGTTATCTTTTGGTGGGTTAGACTAACTAATTTACATTATAGTTACTATTTGGAGTTACTTTAGCCATACTATTTTAAGTTTTCTATTTATTATACTTTATTTTTGTTTCATTGTTTTTTTTTCTTTCTTTTTCTTCTCTTTCCTTTTCTACCAAATGGATAAATGTTCTGCTGGTTTGAAAGTCTGGTTTGAAATAAATTGTATTTCGGTTTCCTAGTAGTTACCTCTTATGTATTCCTTCTTCATCTCCATCTTTCAAGTTTGGGAAAACTTTTCTAAGTATCTAGAGCAAGAGAAACGGACTCCAAACATATACTCTCAATCTTTCGCCTTTGCCAGGTCTTTAGTTTTTGAACCCTGAAGGCTAAGAATGGACTCTTTTGTTATCTGTGTTCTGCTGTGTCATCCTTCCTCTGGAGCAGAGAAGATGCAGTGCCCTGGCTGCCCAAGCTGAGGGAAGGTCACAGGGAACAAAGGATCGACAGAGGGAAAACCCTGTTATTATCTCAAAATTTTATTCAGTCACGAATGCTTTTGTTCTATTTGCCACTCCATTCAGAGCTCCACTACTATTGTTGAGAGGCATCCTATTATTTTCTAGTACTTTATAATTAGCTGCTGGACACGTTTAGTATGCTTATGGAATTAGCTAATTAAACCACTTGGTATATCACCTCTACGGTGTTAAAATTCTCCTTTTAATCTTTTGGTTCTTAAATTCCAATTTGCTATTCATTCATTCATTCATTCATTCATTCAACATTTATTAAGAACCTATTACATGTCAGCTACCTTGCTGGAAGAAAATATGGGCCAAAAAATAATCCCTCTATCAAGATGCCCTCTTTGTGGTGGGGGACACAGACGAGTCACCGATAATTACAAAGAATGCGTGAAGAGCTATAATAGTGGAATGCATTGAAACAGAGCAAAGAGAGGGCCACAAACTCTGACTGGATTGGTGAGAAATATCTTCACAGAAGAGTGACTTTTTTTCTTTAATGTTTTATTTATTTCTAGGAGAGAGAGAGAGACAGCGCGAGCAGGGGAGGGTCAGAGTGAGAGGGAGTCACAGACTGAAACAGGCTCCAGGCTCCCAGCTGGCAGTCAGCACAGAGCCCGACGCGGGGCCCGAACCCATGAACCGCGAGATCATGACCTAAGTGAAAGTCGGACGCTTAACCGACTAAGCCACCCAGGCGCCCCGAAGAGTGACTTTTGAATTGGGTCTTAATGAATGGCTACTCAAGTAGTGAAGGATGAGGGAAGTTCAAGTTCTGGGGTGACAGGAAGAAGAGCAATAGGGAGAGGAAGGCACCTGTGAAGCCCCATGGAGAGTGAGCCCGGTGTGAGGTTGTGGATGGAGGTGTTGTCTGCTGTCTGAATGTGGGAGTAGAGGAGACAGGAGCCACAGATATAAGGCTAGAAAAGATTTGCGTTTTTGAACTTCAGAAAATATATATTCATTTTGAGATTCTTAAGCAGGGAAGAAAAGTAGATGTTGGGTGGGGGCACCACATGGAAGAAAGGGAGAGAGTCAGAGAGAGCACACTTGGGCTTAGCAGCAGGGAAACAAGCTAACAACAGGTTGCAACAAACTTTTCAGATCTTACACCATCACTCTAGCTCAGGACCTCACATTCCTTATGTGGTCTAAGTTTTTAAACTAGGATTTGATGGGATCTTACCACTTCTAATTAATTTGGATTGGGATGTTAGAAGAGCACTTTTTGTTTGTTTAATAGAAGGGTTCACATTTGGATATTATAGGTGGTGGTGCCTACAAGACTATTCAGGAGATGTTTCTTGCAGGACAGCTCTCCTCTTTGTGCTGGCGCAGCATTCTGGGCTGCTTGGATCACAAGCAACCTCCATATGGACATGTTTCCATGACGACCTCTGGAGGGGAAGAGTGGGCTGGAGCAGAGACGACTGGCAATTAAATGCTTCTGCTTAAGATGTGACCCAAGTCATCACTGCCAAAACAAGTTTTATGACCGTGCCTAACTTTAAGGGGCAGAGAAGAGCTGACTTCTCTTGTACCAGCATGCAGGGAGGATCAGGTATTGGTAAGCAGTAATGCTACTCAATGCATAGTAAGATAAACGTCACAAAAAGTTACAAAGAAAAGGCTAAAGGCTTTCAGAGCAGGAGGCAATCACAGTTAGGATATCACATGATAAAAGAGAAATAATTCTTCTGTTTTTCTTTCAATGAGTGAACGTTTACTGCTTCACTTTCTTTGAACAGTAGGAAGTGGTCTGCTAGGGCTTCAAATTCAATCCCAGCTCCCAAGCTGGCTGACTTGGTAGAACCATGCTCTTGCCAGACCTTTATTGTTGTTTTTTATTTTCCCCCCTCTTTTATGGATCCTAGATACATTGCCTAGGAAAATGGGATCTGTATAAGAGAGTTACTGGTAAGGTTGTGGAAGGTTCAATCCACATTCCAAGAACTTTTCACTGCTTCTTGAGGACATGGGTCTTTGTTGCATAAACATGTGGTAGAGTGATTAAATCAAATGACAAAACCTAAACAATAAGGCCTCCATCTTGGAGCTCAGATGCTTATTGACACAAGAATCATGGGATGTACCCAGAAATTAAGGAAAAATGACATTTGAACATAGTCATCTTACATAAACAGGCTAAAAAATAGTTCCAAGGCTTTACAGAAAGTGAGAATACTATTAAATTGAAAACAGTGAGAAACCTTTGGGTTTTGGATTTTCATTCTTCCTGTAAGTACTTTGGAGAAAGTTGGTAACTTTCGGTGTCTTTCCCATTTATTTTGTTTACCTCTTATCGAATTCTTCATTATAATTCAGCCAGAGTAAAAAGAACGAGGATCTAATTTGCGAAAAAGAAAAAAAAATAATACTTCTCTTTCTGTTTTAAGGTTAGAATGATCATATTATCCCTTAAATGTCTTTTGAGTTCCTTGGAAATATATATTACTACACATAAAAGAGTGAGAAATCTCTACACTATCTCTGAACTGGGTATACAGAATGAATAAAATAGGATTCTATTGGATATTATTTGGAAATAAGAGGCAGAAATTATTATGCAGGCTTCAGAAGGAATTGAAACCATGCAAACGAATACTGTTCAAAAAAAGAGATCCCAAAGCCCTTCTCAGAGGAGGACGCCCTCTCCAGGGGGCAGCAGAGACGCGCCGGAGGACCGAGAAGTCGGCGGCCCGGGAGAGGCCGAGCGGACCAGGGCAGTGGCCGGGCCCGCAGCGGGGTCGCTGCCCCAGGGCCGTGTTGGAGCGGAGGGCTGGCCCGGGGGCCGGAGGAAGAGGCGGAGAGCTGACTTTACAGAACGGCTTTTACGCGCCGGACTCTCCGCCCGCTGGACGGGAGGCGGGGTAGCAGCTCGATTAAGTTGCAGCCTGGAAGGAAGGAAGGAGCGAGGGAGGGACGGGAGCAGCCGGGGGGGGGGGGGGGGACGGCCCAGCGCGGCCACGTTTTGGTCTTGTTATTTTCCAGTGGAACAGTTCTCGCACGCCCTTCCTGAGAGGCAGGGCTGATCGCGCCGNTTTTACGCGCCGGACTCTCCGCCCGCTGGACGGGAGGCGGGGTAGCAGCTCGATTAAGTTGCAGCCTGGAAGGAAGGAAGGAGCGAGGGAGGGACAGGAGCAGCGAGCTGGGCCGCGGCGACAGCTGGGGGGACGGCCCAGCGCGGCCACGTTTTGGTCTTGTTATTTTCCAGTGGAACAGTTCTCGCACGCCCTTCCTGAGAGGCAGGGCTGATCGCGCCGAAGCCCGGCGGCCCCGACCTTCCAGGTGACAGCCGGTCACCCTGCTAGGAGTCAGCTCCGCCCCGAGTCACCCCGCCCGCCCCGAGCCCATTCCCCGCCCAGCCACCCTCCGCCCGCCCCAGGCGAGCGCGGCGGCCGCAGCGGCTCTGCGGCGCTGGAGCGGTGGCGACCCGGCGCGGGGCCCTCGGCGGAGGAGGAAGGGGGAAGTTGGGGCCCTCGGCGCCCGCCCGAGGGGGGAGGATGACGATTTAGCTCGCCCTCCCCTGCCAGCCCGGCCGCGGGGCGCCCCCGCGGTGCCCGCCGCCCGAGCCTCCGAGCCGCGCCCGGGGAAGCGCCGCATGGGGCAGGGCCGCTGAGGCGCGCAGTTCGGCGTCTCGCCGTGCCAAAGCGGGCGCGGGCGCCGGTGCGGCAGTTGGCACAGTTTCGGCGGCGCCTTCCGCGCGGGAGTTGGGGGCGCGGCGCGCTTACCCGGCCGCCTCGGTGCCTTCGAAGAGGCGCGAGTTATGGAGCCCCCCAGCTGCGTTCAGGATGAGCCGTTCCCGCACCCCCTGGAGCCTGAACCGGGCGCCCCTGCGCAGCCGGGCCCGGGAAAACCCGGCGACAAGCGGTTCCGTCTGTGGTACGTGGGGGGGGCGTGCCTGGACCACAGGACCACGCTGCCCATGCTGCCCTGGCTCATGGCCGAGATCCGCCGGCGCAGCCAGAAGCCCGACGCGGGCGGCTGCGGGGCGCCGGCCGCGCGCGAGGTGCTCCTGGTGCTCAGCGCGCCCTTCCTGCGCTGCGTCCCCGCACCCGGCGCGGGGGCCTCCGGGGGCGTAGGCCCCGCGGCCGCGCAGCTCAACTCGGCCGTGTTCATCTTCGAGCACAAGGCGCAGCACATCTCGCGCTTCATTCATAACAGCCACGACCTCACCTACTTCGCCTACCTGATCAAGGCGCAGCCTGACGACCCCGAGTCGCAGATGGCCTGCCACGTTTTCCGCGCTACAGACCCCAACCAGGCAAGGCGGCGGCTCGAGGCGCGGGGGCGGGTCCTGCACCCTGGGTGGGGAGGAGCAGGGCTGGAGGCACTGGGACCCCTCGTGAAGGGCCTGCGGTCTGGGCTGCAGGCGCGCGCACTCCACGTGGCACGCTCCTGCGTCCACTCCTCCCGCCCCAAGGACCCGGAGTCGGGGAGCCGGGGTGCGGGGCTGGCGGGCCGGCCGGCCGGCGGGAGTGAACCGTTCGCAGGAGCAGGGGAGAGGGGAGAAGGCGGAGAGTGGTCCCGGGACGGTGGAGCAGAGTGCGCGCCAAGGGAGACGCAGCGAGCTGCGCGCGTCTAGAGGGGACTGCGGTGTCAGGGGTGTGACTGGAGATGGCAAGCTCGGCCGTGTGGTGTGTGTGTGTGTGTGTGTAGACAAGGGAGAGTGTCGGGTTCCTAAAGGCCCTGCACTCACTCTAGGTCTTGGTCGAGTCCTGCACCTTAACCCACTTGGAACCGTCGAGTCCTAGTTAACTCGTGCACCGGCGGGTCTGGGAGCTGGGAGGCTATTTCGGAGCGGGGTTTAGGGAAAAGTTAGTGGACTTCGTCAGATTGTCAGCAGAGTAGGAACCTGCGTTTAGATTCGTTGAGTGGAAAGAAAACTTTTTTTTTTTCTTTTGCAGTTTTTTATGCACTCATTGGAGACAGAATCAATATCAACTTGGGTGACTTAAACAGCAGTGTCATAAAAGAGATCAAAATCTGTTTTCTAAGATTTCTCCAAAGTCACTAAATCGAGGTGCCTGTTGCCAAACAGTGCATTTTACTTCCTTAAAAACAGACCCGCT